GTCTACCCAAATAACTTTCCAATTTATAGAGTAACTTAAGCTAACTAAGGGCATTTCTTAAAAGTTTTCTTGCTACTTTAAAATGGTTTGTACTTTTTGAAAAATGTAAAAATAACTTTCTCACATTAAAGTAGTATAGTAACTTTAAAATGATCAGTACTTTTTGAAAGTAGTTATGTAATTATTAAGGGCAAAATTGGAAAAAAGTGACTAATTAATCCTTGATTGTTTAAATTGTCAATTAATTTTGGACAGCTATTTTTAGTATACCTGACAAACAATAGTGGACGGAGGGAGTATTTTTAATTCTCAAAATATCTTTCCCAAAATAGAACCCCTAAATTTCTATTCATTCTATATTCATCATTTCTCCTTTTCTTTGGAAAGATACTTCTGAATTTGTAATTCTACTAAAATTTTAAGAGTGTTTTTGTCATTTTACCGTTCCTCTGTTAACCCCATCCATACCACATGGCATCCCAACCCACCACACAGACCCTCCTTCTTCCACCACCACCCAAAGTCACCTACACCTTCATCCTATATTCCATCACTGTCAGCATAAATCATCTACCCGTCTTTCATTTCCTTAGAAATGAAAACTAACAGATGATGGACTCGAACTATCAATGAAATCTCCTGCCGCTCTTTCTCTCCTTTCGCCGATCAATTGTAGATTTTACCCTCTAAATCCGCCGTCTAAAGTTATATATTTCTGTAGTTATTAGCTACGAGTTTCAAAATGTTTTATTCTAATATCTCTTCTTTTTTAAAAAAAAAAACTTTTTTACATTAACTTGCTAGTAACAAATTCTCTTGTACTTCAGCCGAGAAGAGGATCTCTCCATAAAAACAGAATGGATCAGTATGAAAATATTCAATATAATCTTCCTGTCAAATAGAGGTAGAACAATAGATGAATAAACTAAATTGACTAAAATTTCTTGCAAAATTATCATCCACTTATTCATTGACAGATTCAGACATCATCAATTAAAAAAAAGTCTCAAAGGACACGCAATATATTGATATTTTGAAAAGTTTCTGCTACTCGTAGACCAACACAAAAAAACAAAAAACAAATATATATTAGATTCAACTTCATAATTGAAGTTATAAAGAAATGAAAGATGGGTAGATAATACATATCTGTTGAGCCTAGGGTCTATCGGAAACAACCTCTCTACCTCACACAAGGTAGGATTAAGGTCTGGGCACACTCTACCCTCTCCAGACTCCACTTGTGGAATCACACTGTGTATGTTGTTGTTGCTTGGGTAAATAATCTATGTTGGTGGTGATGGTATATAGGATGAAGGTGTTACTGACTTTGGGTGGTGATGATAATAGAAGATTTGATGTGAGCTCATTGGTGTGGTGAGTTGGCATGTCATATGGCAGTTCCGCTAAAATGGATGAGGTTAACGGAGGACAGGCAAATTTCAACCACTTTTGTGACGGTAGGGGCATATATGTACCGATACTATAACGGAGTGTAACATTAAACCTTTGTATAACCCTTTTCCCTTTATTCTATTTACGCAAAACTTATCAATCACATTCCAATGAGGGAGCTATCGCGATCCTAATGTCTCGATCAACGCCTAAGATAAATCAAAGCATCAGAATGTTCACATACAACCAATAAGCAAACATCACATGATCTTAAATTTCCTAGATTAACCTCAGGCAGACTATCCAAATAGAATCAAAATTGTAACTTTCCTAGATATGTATGATCATATTGCTTCATTATGCCTTTAAGTAAATGAAATAGAACAAATAGTTAAACAAATGATTATAAAAATTGAATCTTGACGATACGGGTCTGTGAAAAATCACCTGGACAAGAGATTTTTCACCCAGTGAAGACAGAACCAACGGCTCATACGGTCCTGCTTGATCTAACAATAAAGAATCCAACTTGGGTCTCCCAAACCCAATTCCCTTTTCTTCTTCTTCTTCTACCACTTCTTCCTCCTCTGATTTTTCATATTTTCTCTTCAAATCAAAATGATTCTGCTTTTTGGGGGTTTGGGGTTGGTTTTGTAGCAGAGAAGTGTGATCTTCGAGTCGTAAAAGCTGCTGAGACAAAGAAGATTTTGGGGGTTTTCTAGGGTTTACAGATTTGGTGTCAAAATTGTAAGAAGTTGATGAAGATTGTGAAAATGATTGATTGGTACAAGGCTTGAGCGTCTCCTTGAAGGTGTTCAAAGACATGGGGAACTGAAAATCTTGAAATTTTGTGAGGAACTGTTGTTTTTTTTTCTTTTCAAATTGAAGGGCTTTTATTGTTTCCACAAAGAAGAGAGATACCACTACTCACTACTACCCTTCCGTCTTAATTTATTTATCTGATTATGTTTTAATATGAAATTTATTTATATGATTCGAATATGTACGGATGAGATGTATGAATGTTCCAATATAAAGGTGTAAGACATTGGCTATGGATAATTTGAGGAGCTAGAGTTAGATCAAAGAAATTTTGGGAGGTTATTAGACACAATGTGACAAAACTCCAACTTACCAAGTACATGATGAGCAGGTTATGGAGGACGCACATTCGGATAAAAGGTTAGTTAGATATAGTTAAATGTTGTTTCGTTTATCTCTTGTACTATTAGTCATCATATTGATCTTACAATTTCTTGTCCTTTGAGTTTAATTGTTATCGTTATTTTTCGTACTTCGATTATCGTATTATCTTGTTATGAATATTGTTCGTGATTATTTATCAGGTTGCCTATAGGCTATAGTAGCTTATCATGCCTTTTAAATTTTTATTATTTTTTATGTATTACTTTGGACTATTTTTTTTCTTGAGTTGAGAATATATCGGAAATAATTTCTCTACCTCCAAGGTATATATGAGTAAGGTCGTACACTCTACCCTTTTAAAATTTCATTTGGTGGGATTACACGGGTATGTTATTAATATTATAAAGATTTTTTTTCAATCTTATGATATTAAATTAAATATATGTAGAAAATATCAAAATATCCTTTAATACGTAATCTTAAACATGTGATGAAAAAAAATTAAAATTAAAGTTATAAAAAATAGAAGAGATCTTATTTTTTAAACATACTAAAGGAATATAAGATGGACAAATAGAATCACAAAAATTAGAAAATATACGATTTTTATTCATTCATTGTGAAGTATTATTCAAATTATATCTTTTCTCGTGTAGTGTCTTTTCAGAAAAAATAATTAGTAGTATTCATTTTTGTTCACACCTCCTAAAACTCAATATATTCAAAGTTAAAGTTTTTATTTATAGCTGATGTAAAACTTAAATATATGTATATCATTCATATATATTTATTTATATATTATATTATAAATATAAATTAAAGGATTAAAGCATATGATTACGAATCATGACGTCGGATATTATATCAAACAAATAAGTCATATATGTGGAAACATTATGGTCATTGGTCAACCCTTTTTACCTTGGAAGATTTTTTCAACATTAATCAGCTTAGTAAGCTTTTATCTCTAGATAGATTTTTTAATAGAAAGTTCATTAATTTTTTCCATGAGTTTCATATGAAAATAAAATCCTAAGTGTTGACAATTGGAAAATATTTGACTGCATTTGGTGCAGATTTAAGTTTCAATCCACTTAAATACATTACATTAGTATCTGGTATTTTCTTCGTTGAATTTTACTTGCCATATTTTATTTTTTGATAGTCAAACTAGGTAGATTTTGATCATCACTTTAATAAAATATATTTTTGTTAAATTATATTAACATGAAAAGAATAACTTATAATATTTTGAATATAGTTTTTGAATATCTAATTTGTAAAATATTAAATTAATTTAGTTCAATTTAGATTAGTCAAATTAACTCTAAAAGATAGCATGACAAGTAAAAGTAAAAGTAAACGAGGAGAATATAATTTATCAATTAATTATAGCTAATAGTATGTGTTCTTATCACAATTAATTAGACTATTTTTTCGAAGCTATTTAATTTCTTGAATATTTCAGTAAGTGGAATATCAACAACATTTATAAGGGTAAAAGGCGGAATCATGACGAGAAGTTACTATATTCTAAATTAATATTAATTTGTATATATTCAATTAATTTTAGGACTAATATAAATTTTAAATCAAGATTATTAAATTCGATCGAACTCGGAACTTTACCATTCTCCTTCATTCTGCCTCTGCTGGCTGCTAATGCATGCACAAGTCCACAAATAGCTTCTAATATTACCACTAGTAGCAATAAAAAAAATGGACAGCTAATGCATTAAAGCTTTTACTATATGAGTAATAATATTTCTACTAATAATAGTTTTCTCAATTTTATTGTTGTGAGTATAATCCGTCTGAGAGAAAAAAATAACCACAATTATGTATTTATAATTAATAATATTTAGCAGTTGCTTGATTCATAGGATGTTTCAAGATTAAATTTATGCTTCAAATAATTTTATATCAATTTAGTATATGATAAATTCATAATGAAACAAAATATATAAATTTAATCCTAAATACTCCAAAACTTCAAGTTTTATTATCTCACTTTACAGGTGGGACAAATTATAGTTCAAAGATTATAATCCTAAAATTATAATTTCGGAATAATTTAATCAACAAGTCAAACAATCCATTTGGTAACAAGGAAAATATTTGTCATCAAAATTTATTTTAAATCTCAAATATGAAAGGCCAGGTGTGTGAAAACGTTTTTATGGGAAAATAACAAACAATTGATTGATTAATTAAGGTAATTCATGATAAATAAAAATACACAAATTCCCAGCTAAGACTTTCCATATACTTACACAACGGTAATATCATTTACCTTCCTAATAATAATTAATGCAGATTAATTATTTTTCCCTCTTTTTAAACCCCACACAATTCTCTATTTTCTTCATCTCAAACACATTTTGCAATTTTAATAATTTTCTTCTGAATTGAATTTTCTCATTTCTCCCTTTGTTCTTAGTTTGGATCTACATATACACATGGATTCTCTTTCATTTGTTGGCTTTTTCTTTGCGTTCTTTTTGAGTTTAATATGTTCGTCTCAAGGCTACACGTTCTATGTTGGTGGTAAAGAAGGTTGGGTTTTAAAGCCGTCTGAATTCTACGATCATTGGGCCAGAAGGAATCGCTTTCAAGTCAATGACACTATTGGTAAACTTTTCCCCTTTTCTTTTTTCATCGTTGAATTTAATATTTAGATCTGTGAGTCTAGAGCAAGATCATATATCACTTCAGCTAATATATACGGATTTTTTTCCCGTATATATGTAAGTGATTCATCAAAATTAACATTATACTTTTTATATCCTAGAAACATCATAAATTATAAATTCTAGATCACCCTATACGTAACACTTCGAATTGATCATTTTTGTGTTATTATTTTTTCAAAAACATTAAATTATGTATCGAGAGATTGAGTACGAGATAAAGGGTATCTCCAATTTTCTTTTATTTATCGAGAGTTTAGTTTAGCGTCACAATTATTTTTATTTTTATGTTGGAGAATTCTTAACAATATTTATTTTTTGAAAAGTACGGAAAAAAATGTTCTCTTTATTTGATTGGATTGCAAAAAAAAACTTTTAGATTGTTGAGTCACAAACGAAAACAAACAAACGTATAAAGCAACGAAACCATCATAGAATTTTTTAACTCCTCCCGAAAAATGAAGGATGACAAACATATTATTTTTAGTTTAAATTTTATGCAATGACGATGAAAAAATAGCTTACTAGATAGTTATCTGTCAAATCTCTCCTAATAGAATAATTTGGTAAAACCTTAATTATATTACCAAAATGTTTACTAAGGTAACTACTGGTCAATTTCTTAATTGTGTTAATTTAGTAGTACACATAATTAGATTACCAAAATGTTTACTAAGGTAACTACTGGTCAATTTCTTAATAGTGTTAATTTGGTCTACACATAATTATATAATCAAATTGCTTACTAAGGTAACTACACTGTATATTTTTTACGTTGTCAGTGTATATAAGTTTCGTTTTTTTGGGTGCAGTATTCAAGTACAAGAAAGGGTCAGATTCAGTTTTAGTGGTCCATGACAATGATGACTATTTAAAATGTAACAAAACAAGCCCAATCCATCATTTAAAAGATAGCCATTCTAGATTGAAATTTACAAGGAATGGCCGATTTTATTTCATCAGTGGAAAAGACGATAACTGTGAGAAAGGCCAGAAGGTTCTAGTAGTTGTCATGTCGCCGAATCACCACAAATCTCCATCGCCGGCGAGTTCTCCGGTGACCACCCCGACTCCTCCACCGGAATCTGCTTCACCAGCTCCAGCGCCGGCGGCATCGGCGGCTGCAGTGGATGTGAGCTCATCAAATGTTCTGTTTGGGGTTTTTATCAGTTTGATTGCGGCAGCTGTTTTTCTGTAATTTGATTAGTTTGCGTTAATTTTGGTTTTATTTAATGTGTTTGGCTACTCTAAGTTCTATAGTTGTTGTGTTATGATAATTACTTTCATTAAGATATAATTCGTAGTTTTATGGTTGATTTTGTTTTTTTTGCTAAATTTAGATGCATGGTTAAACATGTGTCTTTATTTATTTATTTATTATGAGATGTTACTTGTTAGTGTCAAAAATGAAATACTTGCTAAATAAACGTGGGCTGAATATTTATGAGACTTTTCAGTGGCCAAGACCAAAAATGAATTAGAGATTTTTAATTTTTTTAATATGTTTTTATTCAAAGTCAGATTTTTCTAATTTTTTAAGATGCAAAGTAATTTGTAAATTTGAAAATATTTTGAGAGGCAAATCATTTGTGTCGGATTTTAAATTTATAAACCAAACCAATAAAACTTCGATTTTTCAACCTCGGATTTTTTCAGATTTTTCAGTTTTTCGGGTTGTTTTGGGTTTTTCCGATAAAGTATTGATACAAACATATAATTTACTTGTACTTCAAATATTTATTTAGTTCTATCAAAATACAACTATCTAAGGTGTTTATTAAAAAAATAACACAAAATATGATATGATTAATGACACTAAAATATCTAACAAAAATAATAATCATGAAATCGCTTAAAACAAATATTGCACTTAACAAGTCATAATGAAAATGATCATAATTTAAAAATACTAAATCATGCTAAAATAAGTTTAATAAGTATTAGTTACATGACGAAATATTAAAGGAAATTAAAATTAGATTATGTATATTAATTGTCTAAACTAATGTAAAAACTAAAGAACAAATATTCAATATTATTATCATTCTTAGTGTTGAATTGATTTTCTTTTTGCATTAGTATTAATTTGATTTTGATTTAAGCTTTATTATAATTACCAATATTTGTGGACTATAATCGTTATTGGAACATTCAGAATTACTAAGTTTACAAAACTTGAAATAATAATAATTAAAAGAATAAAAACTATAAAAAAAAGTATAAGAAATATTAAAATTATATCAAAGTAAATATTTTATGTATAAATAAAATTTTAAAATTATTATATAATGTTGGGTTGGTTTGGTCTCGGGTTATTTTTTTTTAGTTAAAACCAAACCAACCCAAATATAGTCGGATTTTTTTCCAATACCAAACCAAGTCAAACTAAACCACTAGTCGGGTTTTTTTTCCGGTTTGACTTAGTTTGCGATTTGGTTCGATTTTGTACACCTCTATATGCGCCCCCTACCATTACAAAATTGGCACACATATGCCCCTTACCCAGGGGCGGAACTAGCATAGAGTTAGGGGTTCAACCAAACCCCCTTCGGCGGAAAATATTACTATTTATACATGGTTAACATTGTTTTTTATGTATATATAGTAGATGTCGAACCCCCTTCGATTAGTTCGTGGTTTACTTCTTCAGATTTTGAACCCCATTATTAAAAATCCTAGCTTTGATACTGCCCTCACCGTTTCAAAAGTTGCTCAGATATGTCCCTACCGTTACAAAAGTGATAAAATTAATTTTAAATTATTTTTTTGATTTTAATATTTATTTTTTTATATATATTTTGACATTTTTCACACATAAATTATTTTTTGACTTTTTTGATTATTATTATTTGAGTTTCTTATTCTTATTTCAATTTTTCTTTCATTCTTTAGTGTAAAATAAGAGAAATAAAAAGAAAGATGTGTGAATGAAAAAAAAAAGTAAAACTATTTTTTTTTCTAGTGTAATTAATTTAGTATTTATATCTATAAATTTTTTAGGATATCTATAGTAAAAATTATAAGAAAATAAGTGAAAAAAATAAATTTGACCGTCAAAATAATAAATTCAAATTAGCTGTTGAATTAAAAAAGTAAAAAAAAACGTGTGAGAAGGATAAAATATATCCCTACATGGGTATTTTTTCACTTCCGTTAGAGGAAAAGGGTATATGTGAGCCATTTGTGTAACAATAAGGTATATATGAGCCACTTTTGTAACGAGGGGTATATCAGCTTTAAATGACAAAATTTTCTTTTTAAAAATAAAACGTATAATAATTTTATCATTATTAAAAAATGAGATCTCTTAAATTTGAAGGCCTAAGACGGAAGTCTTATTTTAAAGGCATAACTATGTACAATAAGAATTTAAATTGAGGATTTATCAAAATAACCTCAAAATAAGGTATGAACAACTCTACCCTTCTTAAGCAAAGGCGGACCAAAGATTTGAAAGTAGCAAGGATATATACTACTGGTATGTGACTACAAAATAAAATGTTACAAAATTCTTAATGTCTATATTGAGTATTCACCCATAAATATGTAACTGGCCCATAAATGGTAATTACTAAATGGTTTAACAAATTTAATTACATCATCTTCCAATTTCAGGTAAACAAAAATTCATGTTATACACTCATAGTATGTACTAATTCCATATCACCAATAATAATTATTATGCCTCAGATCTATTATTTCAGCGCAAAAAATAAAAAGAAAAGGAAAAAGGATCGAAGAACTAGCCTAAACTAAAACTAAATCGAATAAAATTCGATATAATAGTAGTAAGATAAGTGTAAAATATATTTTAGTTTTCTGTTGTATATTAGTTGTTTAGTTTCTTCTTTACACATTCTTTATAGTATGTTTGGATGATTGTTACCTATATTATTGTGTTGTTAGTTTAAATACATTATTTGTTTTGATTGTTACTTAAATTTTATTATATATATCGTTAAAATATATCATTTGACAATGACAAAAAGTCTCATTTTATGTAATGATTGATTTGGTCATGTGATCAACCATTACTTTTTTTTTCTCATTTTATCTTTACTTATTAAATAATAAATCTATTTTATCTTTTATTCTACCTTTTATAGTTGTCCTATCCCGTATCCTAGCGATACAAAAGTGAATGGATACAAGTGATACAACTGTATCAACATGTACTTGTCGAATACATCCTATTTTATTTGTTGATATGATTTGTATTTTATTGAATACAGCGTATATAAACATGTATTCATCCGCTCTCTAGCATCTCTCATCTCTTATCTATGTATCAGCTTGTTGATCATGTATGTATCAAATACAACCACTATCAACTTGTATATATCAGATTGTATTTAGTTATATCAACATAATGTATCCTCTCTCTAGCATCTCCTCTCTCTCTCTCTCTCCCCCTCTCTCTCCCAAATCTCACTCGTCTCCCTTCTCTCCCGCCCACGGCCCAATCTCTCTCACTCTCTCCCAAGTCAATGAATATACAGTAACATACACATTGTATATAAATATATACAAAATACATAGAGTAGCATATTTGTATGTATTTTATGATTCCATAATAGTCTCTATATTGTTGCCAGGGGTGGAGCCAACATATTGTTAGGGGGGTCCATCTGAACCCTCTTCGGTGGAAAATATTACTATTTATATATGGTTAAAATTATTTTTGTGTATATATAGTCGATGTTGAACCCCCTTCAGCTAGTTTGTGTGTGTCTTCTTTAGATTTTAAACTTCTTATTGAAAATCCTGACTCCACCACTAATGGTAGAAAGTAAATTTTGACTCATTTTGTAACAATATATTAAGGACTATCTTAAAGAGTAGATAGATGTCGATATGAGTGTTAATTGTAAGGTTGAATTATAAATTAAAGTGATTGCGTAACGAAATTAAGAAGTTGATGTTTTACCCTTAGTGGTGTACGTTTCCACTTTTAAACATCCTTTTACTCACTCCATTTTATTTTATTTTGGCCCTAGTGAAAAAAAAGTTAGTGTTTCATTTTATTTATGAGCAACTTTCACATATAGCAAATATAAAAATCATATTTGTATGTTACAGCTATAGTTTGCATAATTACGCTTCATAGCAAACTTTATGTTTGTTAGGACTATTAATATGTATATTTATACATAAACAAAAGAAGCAATTGTATAATCTGTTTCGGTATACATATACAAAAGAATCAATTGTATAATCTGTGTTTGTATAAAGCAAGAAAGAGAGAACGACAAAAGAAAACTGGGCAGGGGAAGACTTGTATTTGTATAATCATAAGTGTATAGGACGAAAATATATGTATTTGTATATACAATTTTCTCTCGCTTTATACAAACACAAACGCAATTTATACATTTGTGTTTGTATAAAGTGAGAGTGGCGAGCGAAATCTGGGAGAGTGGCAAACGAGATCTGGGAAAGGGGAGAGAGGGGAACGAAAAAATATGTATATATACAATTTTCTCTCGCTTTATACAAACACAAACGCATTTTATACATTTGTGATTGTATAAAGTGAGAGAGGCGAGGAGAGACTGTCCAGCGAGAAACGAGAGTGGCGAGCGAGAAATTCAAGGAGAGAGGTGAAATGACAACAGTTTGCTACGGGTTACAATTAAATCAAACTGTGGTTATAGCATTTAATTTGAATTAATAGTTTGCTATTTTATACAATTTTTTCTTTATTTATTCATTTCAACAAATCAAAAGACTTTTATTACTTTTTTTTGTATTAACATAGTATTAAATAACTATATAAAATAATAGCTTTCTTAAAGAGTGTGTCAGGTCGATAAGGATCAAGTGATATGAAGTGGAGGAGTAAGTTTTAGTTAATCTTTTAGAACCTGTTTGGAGATCCATTTTATTATTAATGTGAGTGCAGTTGAATTTAATTAGATATAGTTTCAAATGTTTGTTTGGCTAAATAATCATTTGATTAACATGAAATTATATATATAGTTGAAGAGGAGAAATTACCTTCTTCAATTCTCAAGGCAAATATGAAAATTGTAGGTAAATTCCTATGAGGATTTCTTATTTGATATTGCGACAATACTTGGAGTCGCAATACTTGCCTTATAATCAATATTAGGGACACAAGTCTTGATGATTTTCCAGAATCTTTTCGACAATTGTAATTGAAATCCTAAAAATCATTTATAACTTATTATATAATAATTTCAATAGTATGTTTTTAATCCAAAATTACTTCAAATTATCTCAAATCGTTTTTAATCCAAAATTACTTCAAATTATCTCAAATCAACTCCAAATTTAATATTCTAACCTTAATTTTTCCCTAATAATTAGTTCTC